AAATTTTTAAGCAAAAAAAAGCTTTGCGAGCATAACTAAAATTGTGTATATTAATAAATACCATAAGTATTATCAATTGAAATTTTAAATAAGGGCATAAAAATATAAAAAGGTAAAAAAATCAAATTAAAAGGGGCAATAAGGGGTTTTTACCAGGTTTGGTGGGGGCTTAGAAAGGGTTTTTACCAACTATGCTACAAAATCTTATGTAATCGCAATGTACTTTTATTTAGTTATATATTTTCATGGGGGAGCTGTCTCCCTGTTGTAAAGGTAAATCTGCCATGACTATACTCAAAGGAGACCACAAAATTCATACGAAAAAGAGAACGCAAAATCCCACTTAAACTATTTTTAGCTGGATCGTTATAATATTTAGTTAAAATCATGTTTTTTTTTACTAATTTGAATAGCTTTGTAGCAAGATTATATTGTATGATTTCATAAATGAGCATATGTCGTTCGCATTGTAAACTTTTTGACATTTAAACTATCAAGTACGTAACCAGCGATCATACAATACATGTGCGAGTTAAATTAACTAGCTAAAGACGTTAGTGTCTTCAACAAACTCCAATTTCCATATTTCATAAATTCACATTATTGGCTTCTAGGAATAATGTCAGTGGAAAGCACAAATTCGAGGAGATTGTCAAAAACTAGTTACTCTGGTGATATCATGAGCGATACTGGCAACCAAAGCAATAAGATGAACACCATCCTTTTATGGCTATCATAATCAGTTGAGAACCGTGATTAATTGTCTAAGAAGTACGAAGTCGTCTAGCTGTGTTGGTGTGGTGGTTTAACACATCTAGTTAGATTATGTATGAATTAATTTTTTTGTTTGAATCAGATATGTAATTGACATTTGAAATCCAGACTTTTTGGTTGCTTAATAAACAAAAGTACTTTTTATATATATAAAATGTATATCTCACAGAATATATAAATATCATGTTAATTTATATTTCAAGCTAAAAACCATAAATAATCTTTTTATTCGTGATTGTAAATTGAATACATTCCCTCTTTTTGGATGGACAACATATGCGAAATCTATTAAAAATTTAAGACCAATCATTTGTAGAATATAACAAATTCAATATATAAATATTAGTATAGCATAACATGATACTGATCCCCGTATGCACGATACCGAATTACTCAAACGTAATTGACCTCCAGTCGGAAGAATAAAACACATGATTTTTTTGTTTTGGCAAAACTTTTACATTGATTGAATTCTCGTTAAAAAGTGAAACTACCTTCTTAAAATTTGTCTTGATAATTTTTGTCTTAGTAATTTCTCAACGGTTAAAGACACCCTATTAATCTTCGGTTCGGTCCTTATACATTGTCGGTAATTACTATTACTTCCGTTTTTAATTAGTTGTCATTTTAGAGAAAAAAAATTGTTTTAAAATAAGTGTGGTTTTAGAAGAGTAAAATTTATTAACTTTATATAATATTATATTTTCTATTGGTTGAAAAGTGGTTAAGTGTATATGTAATTGTGTTTTTATCTTGAATATATATAAAATTAAATATTTTATTAATTTGTGTGTAAAAATTTAGAATGACAACTAAAGTAAAATGGAGGAAATACTACACTTTTGTTATTATATAAAAAAATTAGGCACATATCTGCATAAATATCAGATAATAACTTCTATCGTTTATTTATCTATTACTCCTTTAATTTAAAAATTATATCTGATAAGAAGATATTATATATATATATATATATATATATATATATATATATATATTATAACCCTGGGATCCCAAATGATAATAACTTTTATTGTTTATTTTCCCATCACTCCTTGATAATTGTTTCTATTTATTTATATAAGATTATATTTTAAGTTTTTTCTTAACAATATATTTTTAGTTATTATAAAAAGTCACATATCTGCATGAATCTCAGATTAGCTCAATCTTCCTTTAATTTTGAACTATACTAGTTATCAATTTTGAAAGTTAAGTTTCTTGTTTAGCCGCTACAAAACTACATGTACATGCGTGTTACATGTTCAAACTACATTCATACAGATATTTCTAAAAATTTGCATTGATGTTCGAATTATTTTGCAAACACATGCTATGTTTCAATATTATCAATTATGGTTGATAGAAAAAAGAGACAGCATCGCTCTGACCTTTTAAACATAATAGAGAATGTGGTAAAAATACTGTGAGCAAGGAAACGCGAGTGGATGAGATACTTCCTTTTGGAATATAGAGAAAGATTTATTGGAGAAAATATCTTACATTGGAAATTTGAATGCACATGAGTAATATATAAGAGATTAGAGTTTTACCAGTTGGTTTTAAGTTGGAAACTCGAGAAATTTAACATGGTATTAGAGCTGACTCATATCCTGACCAATAATCTGGTCCGGATAGTGGCTCGATCATCCCACTGATAGCGGAAAGCTATCAGTGGTAGCTAGAACAAAAAAAAAAAAAATTATTTCGGAAGGATATGATGGATTCTGCGCGATTAATAGTTATACACATCATTATCTCAAAAAAGGATATTGGAGAGAATATCTTACATTGAAAAAGATGAATGAGACATGAGTGATATATAAAAAACGTGGATCAATACATTAATTACTAATTGATTTTAAGTTAGAAAATCCAAAAACTTAAAAGATGATGTGTTTAAGCAAAGTTCAATGCACAAAAAATATACGACCTGGAATCATACGTGATGACCGTCTAGTTGATTGGTATAAGATGGCCGGTTTGGTTAGCAATGTGATGCAATATCAAATTTTTAAATGTTCGGAGTTTAATTGATTAGAAAACTGTAGGTTAGAAAGCTTTGAAAAGATTTAGGATGCGTTTTTTGAAAATTGCCTTAAGAGAACATAAAATAGACTTTCAAAGATTCATTGCGTAGCAAAATTGTGTTTTGTGAACATAAGATTGTATGAAGTCCAAAAGGACTTATTTCAAAACCGAATGGTTGAAAAAACGAGTAAACCCATTTGATTGATTTTTAAACATAGTTATATGTGAGTGGTTTCCATAAAAAGAATAGATAAGTGAAGATGAAGTAGAAGTCCATACCTAACTTTGACGGTTTAAGATAATAACTAACTAATTAAAAATAAACAAAGAAGTGTCATTTCTCTAAGATTTAAATATGTTTCGTTACCTTCAAGTATTACTTTCATTATAGCATATTCTTTTATTTAAATATGATTTAATTAAATATGTTATTTGTTATGTCAGAAGTATTATTGAGATGGAACTATAATAATTATAAGAGATATGCTAAATCTTATTTATCGTGAATTATCTAAATTGAAAAATTAAAAGTTTAATAAGATGGTAAAAATTGACTTAAATAATGTTGATCAGATAGAGTGTTTTATCAATCCGATAATGAACCAATCTTAAAGACAAATAAAGAACAGTTATGTTAAGAAATACATATTAAAATTTTCAACATATAAATGATATTATAATAATATTTCAAGAAACAAATTGTTGGAAGAAAACAAAAAGAAAAAAAAAAGAAATGATATGAATTAGACCAAAAAAAGAAAGAAAGAAATGATATGAAAAAAGAGAAAGATAGAAAAGAGAAAAACATAAAGCAAGCGTGATGGAGAGAAGAGCACCACGTGTTAGATGGGAGAACTCGGTTATGAGGCAAATACGCGGGCTACCTCTAAAACGTGTCCTCTTCACTCATGACATACCAAACCAATTTCATTTCACTTCTCTAACTAAAACAACAAAAAACAAATAAAGTTAGACGACATAATGGTCCAATCGGAGATTAGCGAGAACAATACATACCCAAATGGCAAATGTCTTTTTATTCATCTTTTTACGTGTTTTATTCTGCTTATTTTATCAATTTCTAAGACTTCATTTTTCCTTTTTGAAATGTCCGAATACACATAATTTTATAATGCAGAGTTCTGTTGTTACACGAGGCCATATATATCATGATTATACAAAGCCGGTTTGGTGAGGAGGTTCTTCCTTTCGAGTTTTATATGCTTCTTTTCTATTAAACTACTAGGTGGAGTTTCTAGAAAATTTGTACGTTTAAGTATGATTTTTTTGTTGAATAATATGCGAAATTTGTTTGGCTAATTTATATATTCAGTTATACATATGTGGTCACATATAATACCCTCAAATTCAAGACTCTTCTAATTCTAGTAGTCTCGTATTAATATAGTATGACTCGAGTCACTAATATAATAGAGTTAGACAAGTAAGTCCATATTCGTATCCTCGAGGTCTAGGCTATTATTAATACATAAATAATTGTGCCTGTGACTTCTTAAGGCACTATACACATCATAAATTTCAATCTACAAATGGTGACATACTAAATATTTTAACAACTAAAAATAAATATAGAACATATAGAGGAGACAAAACAGCATAATTCAACCATTGTTTCCTAAAAAAAAATATTTAGTAAAAATAACTCGGTTACTATATGCTGCCAACAAATATTTGGGCACATTTATATCAACATAATTAGAAGAAGCTGATGATAAAAGAACAAAACATAAATGTAAGAAACTTTGTTGCGTGTTGACCGAGTAGAAAAGGAGTGGTCGAACATCTCTATAGATCTCGTCAACTAAAGTGTAAGTGAAAAAATAACACTGACTTCAGACAATTCAAAGTTAATATCTTAGAGACCAAGTCACATGATGTAACACATCGACTTTTAATAAATTGTGTGCGTAGGGTATTAGTGTTCAAATAACTATTTTGTTCATTTCTGTAAGTTGTGATTTTTAGGTAACTGGTTTCAAGGGTAATTAGATGATTGAATGAACTAATTAGTGGTCCTAGTGGACGATGTTTTTGTTGTATTCGAATAAATATAGAACGGACAACACACAAAGAGTTGTCATGCTGTGTGTTGCGTTTGCTAATTTTAACGGTCGGAGAGTTAGATTATACATGTAACGTGGATAATTTGTATGGACACAAACACTTGAGCTCGTCCGATACTTGTATTACTCGTCTTAATTTTAACATTAGTAGACCGTATCATACATAGGATCATATAATGCAGTCTAGAGAGGCTTTTTCACACCCATGTATCTTAAAGGTGCCATAGTTTGGTAGCTTTTGTTAACAGACTTTAGAAACAAAAGAAGCCACAAAACAGACAAAGGGAGTTAAAGACTGAAGGTGGACGCTTTGTCTAAGTGTGAAAGGTCTCAACTTTGAACATTAACACATTACCATGTTTTTGTGTTTGTACACTCTCACTCCATTCCTCTCTCTCGCTCTGTCAATAATTCAACACGTGGCCACTCATATGGACCCACCATTCACCTCCCGGTTTATATAAACCCTCAACACTTCATCCCTCTCAAACCAACTCTCTCTTCTCTCCTCTCTCCTCTCCACTTCAGCAAGAAAAGCTACAAACAGAGCCTTTACAAATTTCAAAAACCGAACTTTTACTCACAAGACCAATACTGACTTCAAAAAATGGCTTCTTTCACTGCGGCTACAGCGGTTTCTCCGAGATGGGTCGGTGGTAATAATCATACTCATCCACCATTATCTTCTTCTCAAACCTCCAACTTGAGTTACTCTTCCTCCTTACCCATGACAAGTCGTGTCCAACACAAGCTAAATGTCTCTTCTGCCCTTCACACTCATCATGCTCTCCATTTCCCCAAACAATCCTCAAACTCTCCCGCCATTATTGTCAACCCCAAAACCAAAGAAACCGAAACCAAACAGATGAACATGTTCCAGAGAGCAGCAGCGAAGGCCCTAGACGCCGCGGAGAGTTTCCTCGTGAGCCACGAGAGACATCATCCCCTCCCCAAAACCGCCGACCCTAGCGTTCAAATCGCCGGAAACTTCGCTCCGGTGAACGAACATCCCGTCCGGCGTAACCTCCCGGTGGTCGGAAAAATACCTGATTCCATCAAAGGAGTGTACGTGCGCAACGGAGCTAACCCTCTTCACGAGCCGGTGACCGGTCACCACTTCTTCGACGGAGACGGGATGGTTCACGCAGTTAAATTCGAGGACGGTTCAGCTAGCTACGCGTGCCGGTTTACTCAAACCAACCGGTTTATCCAAGAACGTCAATTAGGTAGACCGGTTTTCCCCAAAGCCATCGGCGAGCTTCACGGTCACACCGGTATCGCTCGACTCATGCTATTCTACGCCAGAGCCGCAGCCGGTTTAGTCGACCCGGGTCACGGAACCGGAGTAGCTAACGCCGGTTTAGTCTATTTTAATAACCGGTTATTAGCTATGTCGGAAGACGATTTACCTTACCAAGTCCGGATCACTCCAAGTGGAGACTTAAAAACCGTTGGCCGTTACGATTTCAACGGACAGTTAGAATCCACAATGATCGCCCACCCGAAAGTCGACCCGGAATCCGGAGAGCTATTCGCGCTAAGCTACGACGTCGTTTCGAAGCCTTATTTAAAATACTTCCGCTTCTCACCAGACGGAGAGAAATCACCGGACGTCGAGATCAACCTCGATCAGGCGACGATGATGCACGACTTCGCGATAACAGAGAACTTCGTGGTGATACCTGACCAGCAAGTCGTCTTCAAGCTTCAGGAGATGATCCGCGGCGGGTCTCCGGTGATCTACGACAAGGAGAAAGTCGCGAGATTCGGGATTTTAGACAAATACGCGGCGGACTCGTCGGGGATCAAGTGGATCGAAGTGGAGGATTGCTTCTGCTTCCATCTCTGGAACGCTTGGGAGGAGGCGGAAACAGAGGAGGTCGTGGTGATCGGTTCTTGCATGACTCCGCCGGACTCGATTTTCAACGAGTCCGACGAGAGTCTCAAGAGTGTACTCTCCGAGATTCGGTTAAATCTCCGAACCGGAGAGTCCACTCGCCGTCCGATAATCTCGGACGGAGAGGAGCAGGTTAACCTTGAAGCGGGGATGGTGAATAGAAACATGCTCGGCCGTAAAACGAGGTTCGCTTACCTCGCTTTGGCCGAGCCGTGGCCTAAAGTCTCCGGGTTTGCGAAAGTTGACCTCTCTACTGGAGAGGTCAAGAAACATCTCTACGGAGATGACCGTTACGGTGGAGAGCCTCTGTTTCTTCCCGGAGAGGGAGGAGCAGAGGACGATGGACATATCCTCTGTTTCGTTCACGACGAGAAGACGTGGAAGTCGGAGTTGCAGATTGTTAATGCCGTTAGCTTGGAGGTTGAAGCGACGGTTAAACTTCCGTCAAGGGTTCCGTATGGGTTTCACGGCACATTCATTGGAGCCAATGACTTGGCGAATCAGGTGTAGAGATATACATGGTACGTGAGATGATGAAGAAGCTTCTAGAAGAAAAAAAGAGAGAGGGTTTTACCAGTGGGATGGTCTGTATATACGTCCCCGGGAATCTTCTCCTCTTGTGTGTTTTTTTTTGGGTTTTGCTCTGTTTTTTTTTCTTTTGGGGTGCGGTTTGCTAGTTCCCTTTTTTATTGGGGTCAATCTAGAAATCTGAAAGATTTTGAGGGACCAGTTTGTAGCTTTTGGGCTGTAGGGTAGCATAGCCGTTCGAGCTCAGCTGGTTTCTGTTATTCTTTCACTTGTTGTTGTTCATATTGAGAAGTATATAAGATTATATTAAACACAAAACTTTGTGTTATATGTAAAATGTCTTTAGCTTAAGATTAAGCAAACACAATATTCAATTTTAAATACCCGTTATGCCTATGTTTTTTCACTGTTACTTATGAACACGCTTTCTGGTTATTTAACAACAAAAAAAACGTAACACGCTTTCTGGTTTGTGCTATCATCATCATTCATCAAGTGTTTTCTATTGGTAAAAATATATTTTCCAATGATTATATTTCTGGAAATTGAACCAATAGGAGGGAGACAAGACCCAAGTAAACTTTTGGACGTTAAAACAAAAGTTCATAACATCACACGCCGTATAAGTTTAGTTAGTCAATTTTTGGTATTTGCATGGAAGAGAGAATCTCCAATTCAGACAATTTTTTCGAAATAGAAACCAACGAGTGAAGTTAACCCACGTCAAAAATAGCCAGTATGTAACTTGAATACGACTTCTTGTAGTTTTTTTGGACGAACGATTATGACTTGTTGTTTTAACTATGTAGTAAACGGTCGTTGTCATTAACGTATATATTTAAAAGCATAATGTTATTTTGGTAAGCAGAACCGTAAACATTGGATATGTAAATGTAAGAGCACCTCCATCGAAGTATGATGGGAGAAGTAGTAGTGGGACGATGTCTAGCTGAGAGAGCTTCGGCCTCAATACTCTGGCTTTAAGTCCCCATAGCTGTAAACATTTGCCCGGGTTACGAGGGTATTCACATGGGATGCTCTCGCCCTTCAAACCACTTCACGTAACCAGAGACCCTTAAGTGGAGGCTTAAAAATCCTGTAATAGTATGGACTTAGGTCCGGTGGGCTAGTCGATCACGCTTAGTGGTCGGATACTGGATTATCAAAAAAAAGTTCACACACAAATCAAGAAAAAAAATAATAATACAAAACTGATGATCTTTGGCGCAGAGATTCACTGCCATAAACCTGGTTCACTACTGTTTTGGGTTTACGCCACATGGCGACTCATGATTGATCAGTTTATTTATTTTTTTATTTTTTTATAAAATCAAACGAAATAATAATAATAATAAAAACATCAGCCTGTGTGGTAGGTGGTAACACAGTGGAGAGACCAATCAAAACTAGTGGAATTGTGACGAAATTAACGAACGGCATGATTTATATTCTAAGTAATAACGCATGTGTTACTCTTTCAAAGATATATTTAAAACTAAATACTTTATCTGATAAGGTGATCTATGATTGTTTAGAGAAAATATACATTCATAACCAAAGAAAGAAAATTCAACTGTTTGAGAAATGTTCGGTGCATTGAGATTAAGACATTGCCAAAGTAATTGGAAGGCAATAATATACAGTTTGTTATCATTTAACAACTTTTGTTCGGGAAGAACAACTTTAATTAGGTTGCTTGCACAGATTTGAATTTTTTTTTTTTTACGCGTAAGTCATTGTATTGATCTACCTAGATAAGTTGTTTTTTTTTTTTAACCTAGATAAGTTGTTATTTTCTAAATTTGGCTGGTAGCAAAAGTGTTAAAGGCTAAGCTTATTTATGCACAATTACCCAAATATAACATCCCTTAAATTGTTATTATAGGTTTTCTGCTATCCCTTTTTGTTAAATAGCTATAAGTTTACATCGCAAACATAATGGTTGAAAGGGTGAAAATATAAGGCTGCAACTGGATTATCATTATTTGAAATAGAATGATGTGGAATGGTTTATTCCATCAATTCTATTTTTCTTACCATTTGATTTGATAGGAATAGAAAATGAATAATTCCAAAACAAATTTGATGAAGAATAAATGAAATGAATCTATTCTATTGTTCTGTTATATTCCATTCATGTTATTCCATTATTTGTTATTCCATCCATTACTAAACATATTTACAGTTACAGCGGTACAAAATTTTAAATTGTTGTATGTATTCGGGCATACAGTACTATATGACGAGGGGAATAGCTAAGTGAAAATGGTGTTCGCAAGAATCACAAACCGAACGTTCCATTAGTTAATGCTATAGGGATCAAAAGCACATATATATAGGTTCACTTTCGCATTTAGACGAAAATATCTCCAAACACCAAAAAGTATTACGACATAGATCATACATTTTCTTTTGATATGAAAAGTATCACGACATAATACTGGAAAATGTCGAAAAAAAATATTAATATGTGGCCAACTTGGAGATATCTTCACATGGTGGTTTTAAAATTTGTTTGCTTGTTCACGTTCTCATCCAAAATATAGAAACCCACTAATAATATTCTTGATGGAATCTAATTGTATAATAAATGTATATATATTCAGTGTCTACCTTTGTAGTTTTAGAATTGTTTCACATAAAATAAACTCAATATAAACCAAGTTGCTTTGGTCTAGTGGTAAAGGAGCTCAGCTGGAGTGTCCACCCTTGGGTTCGAGCCTTGGCCACTGCGGAATTCACATATGGGCAATGTCCTTACTCGCTTTGATCTCTAGTCTGGACCAATTCGGTGTGGTCAGGATACTCGGTTAGCAAAAAAAAAAAAAACTCAATATGATATTTTTCCAAAAAAAGATTTAGACAAAAAATACGAGAATAAATGTTGTGAAATAATAGTTTAGAAAGTTTGCTAGATGCAAAACGTATTCGGGAAAACTTCATTGGATACGGCGAAATGATACGCTGGGTTCCAGTAGAATTATAATACTTATCAATACCTTTTAAACAATATCTAAAGAAATTATACGCGATGGAGAAGGTAGTGAAGCCAACGTTCAGAACTTCAGATGTTCACTATTTACCCAAAGTAGAAGGTGACTTTTCTCCCAACCAATTCTAGCCTAACTACTTTCCTTTAGTGGAAGGTTGGCACTTATGTTTAATATATTGGCAGTAACTACTTATTCGGGCCGCGAAATCTGGCATTGTGATTCGCAGAAACTATAACTTAACATGTACATGTGCTATTTTTTGTTTTCTTATGCTAAAGATTATTCTATGAATTTATTAACAAAAGGCTCTAGGCCAATATAGAAAATGTTATGCATGTGGTGGTATATTGTCAGTTTCCACATATAACATATGTGTGCATTAAAGTTAATCTCATAACGGTATAATTTGGTGACATGTATGTCGATACTCAGCAGACTCTGTACAACTGTTCCATCCCCTAGCATGGCGAAGGCGGACCTTCCATATATAAAATGGTCCAATAAAAATGACACTTCAACTCTATTTATTGGAAGGTAAATTAGCTAGAAATTAAATGTAGAAATATTTATTGGAAACAAATTTATGATTAAAATCTAAAATGGAAAGAGTACCAAAACTACAGTTGCGCACTTGATCGAATGATTGATAATGTAGCTACTAGCTAGCTAAAAATAATGCTCGAAGTCTATAGGGGGTAGAGTCCATGGTTTATATATACATTACATACTTAGCAAGCGGTGGCCATAACATATAAAACTGGATATCTCTTTGTGATTTGTTTTCTGCGTCAGTTGTTAACGCTTGTGAATTCTCGATTGAGTAGTTTGCGGCGCTTTATTTGGCTCTTCATCAAATGGGAGAGAACACAACAACCAGTGTTAGGAACTTATTGTTGTTCTCCACATTGTAGAGGCTATGTTGCTCTATAACTGTAATTAAGAATATGGGAAAAAATGGAAGGATTGTTTGTCAAAAAAAAAAATGGAAGGACGAATATTAAATATAAATGCAAAGTGATAAAAATTGGTTATTTAGCAAATTAACCCAATATTAACTATAGATGCAAAGTGATAAGAAATTTTAGGTATTATGTTATGTTTTTTTTTGGAGAAAACAGGAAACAAAACACAAACTCAGGCAGTTTTACTGAAAAGCGAGAAGGATATGAATTGATGTAAGTTAAGTTAACCAACATAATATAATGTTTATTTGTAAAACTTAATTTTACAAGATCTAGCTCTTTTTTGCTGAAATCGGTGTAAACTTAAACGTAAGAAAATATTAAATTATATTAAAATAAGCTTTTCGTCAAAAAAAAGAAAAAAATATTAAATTATCGTCAAATAATCAATAAAGCATCTAACGATTAGCTCAACGAAATGACCAAGGATATTCTCATCGACAGTATGTGTGTTATTAGTGTGATATGCATATGTCGGCATATATAATAATACTATTATCTTTACATGCGAGCAAACCACGTGGCAAATGGCAGCAAATGGTAGTCATGACCAACCATCGAACCAAAACTACCAAATGATAGCTCAAGTATGTTGATTTGTCCAAAGATACAAAAGTAATAATTGCTAAAGAGTGGCAAGAAGTATTGAGGGGACCCCTATGCTTTCAACTATTTGAAAATTTATAATCAAAGAATATACATCATTTTAGCAAGCTGTTGCTTATCGATTTGAGCTTTTACATGTGTTACTATCTCGAGAAGTCAAACAATTACATGATTCATGAAATAAATATATAATACATGCACATCATCGGAGGGTTATATGCACACAAAATTCACATATATTTACTTTGTACAACGCTATAAGTTTGTAAATTTTCGAACTATGCATAGTGAATAATAAACGCATAGCCTCGGGGTAGACGGCCACGAGTGCGAGTGATTAGAGGGACGCGTATGTCTATTATTACTTGCATTTCTAAATTTGGACTCCCTCTCAAATCCAAACTCCAACGAGCTTATGGCCATGCAAAACCGAGTTATCTAAATGTTTACTACTGCAGCAGTTCTCGTCGATCAAACTAAGAGTAATAAATTAGAAATTAGCCCTAAAAATAGAATAAACGGAAAGAGATAATTGCTTGGATATTGTCTGGGCCACGTGTTCACACATTGTACGTCGGGCATAAGATCGTTGTTATAGATAAAAGAGATATGTCTATTGCAACAAATGGAAAATAAAATTTCGGATTACTTATTTTCTTTTTTAAATGTAAACAAGATGATGTATACCACTATAATCGTGCCTCATATATTCTATAGAAGATAAATGCCAATAATGCACGCCACATTACTTATACTTCCAAAACTTTAGCATATGTATCCACACACTATCCTAACTAACTAGAAACTACCATATACTATAGAGTTGGGTCCAAAATATTGATTCAGATTTTACTTGGATATCATCAACTTTCGTTATATATAAACTATTGGTTCATTTGAATATTTGATTCTACATTTTTGGGATCAAATATTTGATGTACATTTATTTATAGATTTTTTTTTGTGTAAAGCTCCCCGTAAAGAAACCAACAGCATTAAAACAGCTGGGGGTTTTGTGTTGTGTGGAGGTCGACCTTTCAGCGTTAAGATAGGCCAATCATGTTTTTCCTTGATAATTTAATAATATCAGTATCTATATAGTACAAGTTATTTCTTTTGAATGTTATACGCATTATCTTATATCTCTATAATACTGTCTCACTCTTAACATACGTCATAATCTTTGAATGTTCACGTGGATATCACTAGGGCTGCACATCATTACTCGTTACTTGCCTTAAACTCGGTATTTGATTCGTACCCGCCTTAAAAATTCAAATATTCGGTGTTGTCAAGACAAGTAACAAGGCGACAATTTTCATTACTTGCAAGACTAAGTCAAGTATCAAGTATCATTATTATATTTTGTATTTGACTCGTTTCGCCCCGCTACTTGTTCCATTACTTGCTATTTGTTACATAATCTATTAATTAGTTTTTCATATTTATCTTTTCTTTTACTTGCATTTAGGACTAGACATAAATATACACTACTCTTCTTATATTTGTTATTTATTTTGTATCCAATCTTGATCTTTGAATACTCGTCGTTATCTAGTCAAGTATTACACAGCAACAAATATTAAAAATTTAGTAATATGATTTGTTATTACTTGTTACTTATCTAGAGAAGATATTCTTGTTATCGTGATCATTATACAATGTTTATATACCATAATATGCATTTTTTAATTTATCTTTTTTATAATATGAACAAATATTCTATTTAAAGTAATTTATATGTTACTTTAAGTAAAATAAACAAAACAAATTTTCATGTCTATTTCTAACAAAATATTATTTAGTTAGTAGTTCTTAAATATTCCGAAAAAGATCGTAAATAGTGCATAAGTACTCGTAAATAATAAGTAATAGAGCAAGACAAGTAACTTGCAAGTCGTTTATTTTTCATCAAGTACTCGAAATAGTAAGTACTCGTTTTAAACAAGTCAAGTACAAGTCGAAAATTTTATTATTCGTACAAGCCAAGTCAAGTCGTGAGTACATGTAAAATAATAAGTACTCGCCTTGCGCCCACCCCTAGATATCACACATACGCTGATTTAGATGGTACCCCGTTATCTTTTTCTATTGGTTGTTGTCTAAATTTACCGTTGTTTTTTAATATTATTTTTATTGTTTTCTTGTACATAAAATTATCAAGTGAAAATAATATGATATCAAAATCAAACTAGAAAAAATAAAACAGAAATTATTCATTGGTTTGCTTGACCTCGATTTGTTTCTATACATAGCAAAATACAGTTTTTAAGACACAATGACCAAAAAGGATATTGATCTATGGTTTGCACAAACAATGTTGTTGACTATATCTCATGCAATTTCGTTATGAATTTCGCTCCACTTAATTACTTTATAATTAGGCTTTTCTTAAGCGACAAAAATATCTGACGCTGCATAGAAGTCATAGGTATTATAATATCTCCAACCCATAACACTATTTTTATGTCAAAACTACATTATTTTAGTGTAATTTTAACATTAAAAATATGTTCATCTCCAACCACAACACTAAAATTAACATTAAAAGCTATTTTATAATATTATATTTTTATTTATCATTTATTTAATTGTGTAATTTATTAATAAAATAAGTAAATAGTATTTTAGTGGGATAAATAATATTTTAGTGTGGTGAATAGCGTCATACCAAATTTGGTGTGAAATTATAGTATATTGCATTAAAATAGTGTGAAATTTAGTGTTGGATTAGAGAAGATTTTTGTGTTAAAATTACAGTAAAATAGAGTTTTAGTGTTGGATTGGAAATGATCTTAGTTAGGGGTTTGAGCTTAATATTTACACCGATTACAAAAAAACACACATATAAAAATAAATATGAATATGATATAACCTTGAGTATTCATAAGTTATGTTTCAAAAATTTATATAGAACATTTAAATATATATACTATAGTTAGATATTAACTAGTTTTGCAATATAGGACATTTAAATATATATTACATATATATAGGACATTTAAATGAATATGATATAACTCTGTCTGCCGGCAAGCTGCAATGAACGGCTTAAGATGATATGAAAACTTTGCACATGATTGAAAGCCACCGAATGGATAAAGGGACCGATTTTGTTTCTTTGTTTCTCCATATTTTGGGGATTTAACGAACTGAAATCATTCAATCATCATCGTCATATTCCCATAAGAGATAAAAAGTCACACTCAGCCACGCGCAAAAAACCTCTGGACGTATTAGAGGTCTTGATGGTCGAGAAAGACATAACCACGTGACCGTCAACGTAACCACAAGCCCAGTCTCATAGGGCACTAAATGATTAAGAAGCAGAACATAATTTTCTCTTCACATCTCTTTTAATGACATGAAAACAATGCTTCTTATATGCCGCCAAAATCAGTCCGCCGCCATATTGGAACTGCAAGAGTTCTAATCAGAGGGATCAGTGACACAAATAATTATTTGTTAATCAAACAATAAGGCTACCAAAATCAATATACTTCCTAGTGACATGTGATCAAATAACGTAAACATGCTGAACCATCCTCTCTTCTGAATATGCAAAACAAACTAGATACGAAAAACTTTCAAAACAAGATTTGTAACTTATAATATCACATTACATAGTCTTTTCAGGTAGATATTGAGAAGTTAATGACAAACAGATCAAATGTTCAGAAAGACCATAAGCTCAAAGCCAGTTAGGAACAAAAATCTTACATGTAATTGTAAAAGTGCCGGTCCGTAAAGATGACACAATGGTGGGCAAAAGAAGCATTATTGTCCGTAAAGAAGACATAATGCCGGTCCAACATTTTCATTTTTTTACTTGATGCCTAAACTCACTTGAATTCTTTTTTGCCCTAAATTTTTATAATGCCTTATATACAACTAAAATTATCATTTAAAATAATAATGCACTAAGTAGAGCAGAACTTGCAGTATAAATCACAATGAACATGTCTCGTATCTATGCTCTTCTCTAACGCGCAGTCCGTTCTATGTTCCGCTTCTATTGACGGGGCCCATTTGATGATAACAGTCCAATTTTGTAATGAGTTAGACAAGGCTTAAGTGATATAAGGCCCACTTATGGCCCAGAAGCACTTATAGAAAAGTAACTGCTTTATGTTCTTATTCGTTGACCGTTATTACGAACGAGCGAGCGAGCGACGGTGATCCGTTATCAAAACCCGGCGGGAGGATTTTTTGAGGATGATCGGAAGGCGTGCTGGAACTAACCGAGTCGGCGCGAGGAGGGACGACTCGCTTCTAACTCGGTTCGTTGACTCAGTGTTTTCTCTATTCCGACTAGCTGAGTTTGAGATCCTGTTTGTGCTATTCTTCGTTATAGCTTACGTCATCTTCAAGGATTTGGTAAATTTCATGTCGGTTTCGATCCGTTATCGCGTTTTTTTTCTCAATTCGATTGATTTTTTTTTTGTTAATTTTGCAGACGGCGAGGCCCGAGTACAATCGGATTCTTGTTGAGAAACCCGGTGGATCTGACATCTGGCCGTTCTAATTGATTACAACACATTCACTGTATTGCTTAGTAAATGTCACTTTTTTTTCTTTTCAATTTCTCAATGTAATTCTCCTTCCATGGTTTTTAATTAATGCTTCGGGTTCGTTAAGTTAGTTTTGGTTTTTAGTGATAAGATCTGTTATGCTTGGCACTTGGCATGGGCCATGTTCATATGAGAATCTCAAGAATATAAATTTGTAGAATTTAGCATGTTTATTTCAGAATTTCAGCTAATTACGATCTATAATTTCCTCTATATTTCACTCTGTAAAATAAGTTACTCTGTTATTGAAAATTTAATGTGTTTTTGTCGCTCTAGAAATAGAGTAACAAGATAATCTTCCTTTATATTCCACTCTATTATAGAGTAAACCGTTACTCTATTTTAGAATGAAATATAAAAGAAATTATAGAGTACCACTGGAGATGGTCTCATGGTTTGGAAGTTGGTGCATTATTTGTTTTGTTTTAGGTCTTAGATACTTGTCTCTGTTGTTTACGCAAGAAGAATGGAGTGTAAGTAGAAGAAGACAAATAACATTACAGAATCACTAGGCATGGTTTGTGATTCGAAACATAGGGAGAAACAAGTCTTTAGATAGATAGAGAATAGTAGAAAGCCAAGTGAATGCTTAGGGATTACATTACATGTTCGCTGGTTGTTTTTGGTCTCTCTATAACCTGGCCAAAGGGCGTGGGGTGTCCCATTCGGTGGTGATGTGGTTACGGGTGATTTCCTTGAGAGTCCTGCAGCCACTTAGTGCCATTGTCAGCTCGAACTCGTCACGTAGCATCTGAAGCACTTTTCTGACTCCAGCTTCTCCTTCAGCAGCAAGTGAGAACACCACTGGTCTTCCAATCTGTGATTGATGGGGCATAAGAATAAAAGTGTTATTACTATCAATGGTTTCAAGCATTAGAGATATGGTGCTTACAAATATCCCTGAGGCTCCGAGAGCAAGTGCCTTGAAAACATCAGTGCCACGGCGAACACCACCATCCAAGAACACAGGGATTCGTCCTTGTGTCGCTTTGACAACCTGAACACAGGGCAACAAAGCTGATGTTGCCGACCGAAAACGCTTTTCATGAAATCACAAGTTTGATGTTTGTAGCCGAGAATGATGTACCTCTTCAAGGGCTGAGATTGTTGCTGGGACATAGTCAAGCTGGCGAGCTCCATGGTTTGATACAATGATCCCTGCTGCTCCAGCTTGAACCGCTATCCTTGCTGCACGAAGGTAATTATGGCTGGCTTCGTTAGGTATTTTTACAAAAATTAAGTGAAGAAGCACATTTGTTTGTCAGATAGTAAACTTACCATCCTCTCCTGTAATCACACCCTTGACGAGAATTGGCATTTTGGTGATTGTCTGGAGCCACTGGACATCCTGTTTGTGTAAATGAAAGTTAAGAGTTGTCCTAAATCAAGTTTCTGTTCAAACTACTTGGTTTGGTGTTTATCTTATAAAGTATTGTACTCTCTTACCTTCCAGCTTAAGGTACGGTCAATTTGACCACTAACATATGAAGCCAAACCAGAGTCATTGGCCTGCAGGTGGAAACAGAACAAGCTCAAGAAACGTAAACACAACAAGACTGCTTTAAGACTTGTTTTGAGAAACATATTAAGAAATAATGATTGATAGTATCTGATGGATACTTACCTCGTCCATCTTGCCGAGGTCAAGACCTTCAAAGTTCTTCAATGTCAGGTGTGGTGGCAAAGTGAACCTGTATTAGAAGAACAATTTATGCTTTCTGGCTTTGTATGTGCATATATCTCATATTTTTACTGACTTGGCTTTTACCTGTTCTTGATGTCAGACTCTCTGCGACCTAGCCTTGGGGTGTCTACAGTGAGAGCAATGGCTTTGAACCCTGCCCTCTCGGCTCTTCTCACAAGCTGCTCAACCACTTTCCTGTTCTTGTATACCTACTCAGTACAATCATAACGTGTGAAAGTGTGACCAGGTTTTCTGGATTTATGACAAGCAACACTTACATAGAGCTGGAAAAACCGAATCCCTGGCCCTGTGGAAGCAACTTCCTCAACACTGGAAGTAGCCCATGAAGATAGTGTCTGAAAGCATCATGGAAACAACTCAAACCAGAGACACGAGTATGCATGTATTTTGGATCAAGAAGCTCCAAACACCACAGCGTTTATTTAGTAATGAGTTTATAACATACCATGATAGTTCCAGCAGCAGAGGCAGCTCTAGCCGTAGCATATTCTCCTGTATTAGTTTCCATCATACTCGTTAGAGCTATAAGCCTTAAGTCTCTAGCGATGCTAAAACTAATTTCAACTCTCTACGTTATTTATTTCTACAGAATGTTTACCTTCAGGGTGAGCCATCTTCTGCATGGCAGTAGGAGCAACCATGATGGGCATGGAGATCTTGAAACCCAATATGGTTGTTGTCATATCAATCCTGCTCACATCGATGAGAATCCGAGGTCGAAAGCTGTCAAAGCATCCAAAAGTACGTATAAGAATCAAATTAACATCTCTTATAAAATCAAGTGTTGTTTCTTGCCGTAAGAAAAAAAAAGAAAAAACTCACAGGATTCTTGCGAAAGCGTTTCTGTTCTCTTCAAGAGTCCATTGGTCTTCTGCTCCAGAGGCATAGTAGTCGTATACCATCTTAGGCAACTTCTCCTTTGCAATCGCTTCATACTCGGTAACGTTTGTGATCTCCATTTTCAGATGTTTAATCTGTCAAAAGAGCAAAAAGAGTTAGTTTATCTGTTTCGATATTCAGACAAAGTCATAGCCAAGCATGTACGTGAACGTTGTTTAGTATTGAAAATAGAATCTCTCACTCACCTTTGACGGGACCTAAGCTCTCCGGAGAGAATGGAAGTTGTGACTGGCGAAGAAACCTTTTATATTTGGTTTAAAGTTAAGTATGTTGTGATGGGTTAACTTTAACTTGTGGATTCTGTAACAGATGAAAAGTTGTTGGCAGAAGGAATTGATATGGATGAGATTTTAAAGGTTTAGAATGGATAAGGAGATACGGACAAAGATCAGATGGAATGTGTGTGTCTAATTCATAAGCAACTTTGTGTGTTCCTTAGATTTTCTTTCCTATTATCGTTCCTAATAATTCGTAAACCATTTGTTTTTATTTCTCTTTTTTCTTTGGTTAGGATAATATATCCAAGAGTTGATGAAAGTAAAGCATGCAGGGAAGAACCGGATTCATGAGCCGAATGATATACAAAACAATATGCCTAACTGTTAAACATTCAAGCCCAAACTTCTCAGACCTCTCTGGCCCTCTGTAATATTTGATTGAGCGGTTGTTTTGATGATATAGAATATGAATTTAGGACTATGTTTACATTGCATTCCATGTTCTTCAAAATAAGGATTATATCTTCTTGACTCAAGGTAAAAGTAGCCAAATAGCATAACAGTGAATCTCTAGTCATTGTTTTGTGATTCCGGTACAAGGAGAATCAATTAAACAGCAGAGTAGAAGCCAAAAGTGGTTAATCAGAAGAATATCAATAGGTTTAGCCATTACATACATAGCTCTCTGTTGTTACTGTTCTCTGGCTTGTTGTTGCTTTTGTGTTTTTGGTCTCTATAACTTAGGCAAATGGCGTGGAGTGTCCCACTCGGTGACAATGTGGTTGCGAGTGATTTCACTGAGAGACCTGCATCCACTTAGTGCCATGGTTAGCTCAAACTCATCGCGTAACATTTGAAGCACTTTTCTAACTCCAGCTTCTCCTTCAGCAGCAAGTGAGAATACCACTGGTCTTCCGATCTGAGTTTGAGAGGGCATAAAAATATAAAAGTGTTATTACTTCAAGCAGCTTTCTGGTAAATGATGCTTACAAATATCCCGGAAGCTCCAAGTGCAAGTGCCTTGAACTTTGAAGACATCAGTGCCACGTCTAACACCACCATCTAAGAAGACAGGAACTCATCCTTGTGTCGCTTTAACAACCTGAACACATGATGGACGTTGATGAAATGTTTTAGTACATAATAAACACTTTTTGACAACACAAGTTGATGCTTCTAACTAACGATAATGATGTTACCTCTTCTAGGGCCGAGATTGTTGCTGGGACATAGTCAAGCTGGCGACCTCCATGGTTTGACACAATGATCCCTGCTGCTCCAGCTTGAACCGCTATCCTTGCTGCACGTTGATAGTTATGGTTAACCTAATTTTTATTATATTCAACTAAAGAAGACGTTTGCCTGTCAGATGGTATCTTACCATCTTCTCCTGTGAGGACACCCTTGACAAGAATCGGCATGTTGGTGATTGTCTGGAGCCACTGAACGTCCTGTTTGTGTAGATGAAAGTTAGTGAAAATCTGAATCTTCTGTTTCCAGCTATGTTATCTTAAGGTCTGTAGTATTCTCTTACCTTCCAGCTCAAAGCACGGTCAATTGGACCAGCAACATATGAAGCCAAGCGAGAGTTATTGGCCTGCAGGTGGTAAGTTTAGGTATGCTTTAAAACTTGTTATATGGGTGGTTCATTGCCACTATATAGACTATAGTACTGGATAGTAGTTGATAGATGTTTACCTTGTCCTTCTTTCCAAGGTCAAGACCTTCAAATTTTTTCAAAGTTAGGTTTGGAGGCAAAGTGAACCTGTATTAGAAGAGAAAACATTGTTACTCTATAGTTTTTCTAGCAACACGTTTGAATCCGATCAACTATGATCACAATATTTACCTCTTCCTGATACCAGACTCTCTGCGAACTACCCTTGGGGTGTCTACAGTAAGAGCAATGGCTTTGAACCCTGCCCTCTCCGCTCTTCTCACTAGCTGCTCAACCACTCTCCTGTTCTTGTGTACCTACTCGAAACAATCATAACGTGTGACCACCTTTTGTTATGACAAGCGACTGAAATTACTTACATAGAGCTGGAAAAATCGGATCCCTGGCCCTGTGGAAGCAACTTCTTCAACGCTGGAAGTAGCCCATGAAGATAGTGTCTGAAAGCATCATGAATGATGAATAAAATAACATCAACCCTGAGAGACATGCTTATGAAATAGATGGTTGGTTAAGAAACTCTAAACACATAAAAAGGTTCAAATCTTCTGTTGGATGAAACCATTTGGTTATAATACCATACCATACCATGATGGTTCCAGCAGCAGACGCAGCTCTAGCCGTAGCATATTCTCCTATGTTACATTTCATTAGAACAAGCCTTAATTAGTCTATTCCCTCCTAACTATACTAAAGCAAGTTTTCACTCTCTGCATTAACTTTCTTTCTAGACATGTTGCAGCTTACCTTGTGGGTGAGCCATCTTTTGCATGGCAGTAGGAGCAACCATTATGGGCATCGAGATCTCGAAACCCAATATGGTTGTTGTCATATCAATCTTGCTCACATCGATCAGAATCCGAGGCCGAAAGCTGATAACACATCCCAAAGATAATATCAAATCACATATCTTGTAAAACCAATAACAAAAGAATAATATAATCCTTTAAAGAAAAGAATAATATAATCTTTAACGAAAAGAAAAAACTAACAGGATTCTTGCGAAAGCATTTCTGTTCTCTTGAAGAGTCCATTGGTCCTCTGCACCAGAGGCATAGTAGTCGTATACCATCTTAGGCAACTTCTCCTTTGCGATCGCTTCATACTCAGTAACGTTTGTGATCTCCATTTTCAGATGTTAATCTGTTAAAAAAAAAAGGGCTGGAGTTAGTTATAGCTGCAATTCTAAACTCCAGAAGTTTAGACACAAGTGTCTCCATGTTTGGACTTAAACAGATAGTAGTAATCTCACACATTTTGATGGAAATGGAGGTCACTGGTGGAGAGATGAAGTGTGACTGAAAGGAAAGCTTATGTTATTATCCAAATGTTTTATATAATATAGTTTAGATGTTATATGTTTGGTTTGTCATGCATTAACATGTGTTAAAAATTATTGGCAAGTTGAAAATCAATATGGATGAGAAGCTAGAGGTGAAAAATGAACGAGGGAGATACGGACAAAGGATCAGGTGGATTGTGTCTAATCTACAAGCAACTTGTGTGCTCCTTAGCTTCTCTTTCCTATTATAGCTCACAAAATCTCGGCCGAAAATAGAAGAAAGAATATAATCAACCAAATTGTCTTTTTTTTCTACTTTCTTTCTTTTACATAATCCAGTGTAGGCCTGGGCGTTCGGGTCGGATTTTTCAAATTTCGGTTCCATTTTATAACACCTCCTAAATCCCATTCTAGTAAATTTCCAACTATGAGCCGGATTCGGATATAACATATCGGTTTAAGATCAGCTTTGTATCACATCCTTGAACCCATAAAATAATAATATATATACTTAAAGTAAAATCTAAAATTTAAAAGAAAAACATAAAAATATATGCTTATTTATATATAACTAGATAAGCATGTGCGTTGCAACAGGTTTTAATTTAATAAAGAACATAAAAATAATAAATAATTTAGTGATGGATTTAGGATTCCTTTTCGCATAAATGGTGTGAGATTTATTTTATATTTACAAATTTATTAACAGAATTGGAATATCTTCCTAACAATAAAACTATAATAACTTTTCAGAGGACATGTGGTGTCTGATTACAAACATCTATTTTCTCCATATTATTTATATATCATATTACATCTTCAACAGAGTCATGTTATACAATAATCTTATTTCAAGCAATATTCATTATAAATACCCCACCAATTGATAGAAATATACAATATTCGACAACCAAATTGATACAAAAAAATTTATTGGGTATTTGTAATGAATTTTGTTTGAGATAACATTATTGTATAACATGACTCTGTTGCAGATGTAATCAGATATATAATAAACAACTTCTTTTTAATAATGGAATTATATAAAAATAATAATAAATAAAATATTTACCTTCTCATCAAGTAGGAGAAAATTCATTCCTATAAACTCATTATTCTTGTTTAAATTTCTTACTTCCAGTTTCTAGTACAATGTACTACAGTACGATGCTAAACATTTTTTTTATTTAACTGATCTAGTGTTAATTAACTTTTGGAAGCAATTGTTTCTTGATAAGATTCTTATTAGCAAATTAAATTACGATTTTCAGTTAGAAATAAGAAATAGAACAAACACACATAAGATTCCTGCTAGCAAATTAAATTACGATTTTCAGTTAGTACATTGGCGTTGCCATTAACTTATCTAGCATAACCAATTTCAGATGATCAATACAAACAAACACACATAAACATAATACCGACGTTAACTTATGTTGTACAACATCATAACTAAAAAAATAATTAACACGCAAAAATGTGAAAGATCATGCAAAAAACTCACTTAATATTCTTCTTAAATCAATAATTATGTTTGGTGATCAAATATGAGAAATGGCAAAATATGAGGGAGCTTAGTCTTATATATATATGAATAATTGTAGTTCTTTTTTGTTTATGATACTTTTTAATTAGGATTTGAATAAAGAAAAAATAACATTAAACACTCTTTTAAAAAATTTTGTTTAAGATTTTTAAAGGAAAATTACTATCACTTTTTTGACATTAATCTTTTTTTTTATGATTTTGAAAAGGAAATTTAGTATTAAATAGCTTTTTTACAAATTATTTTGTATAGGATTTCTAAAAACGAAAATTACTATTACTTTTTTCAGAAAAATCTTGTTAATATATGAATAAGTATAGTTCTTTTGGGTTATTGTCTTTTTAATTAGGATTTGAATAAAAGAAAACTAACATTAAACACTATTTTACAATTTTTTTGGTTTAATATTTTTAAAAATAATAATTACTTTCAAATTTATTTTACAATTACTTTTTATTTGTGATTTTGGAAAAGGAAATTAGTATTTAATAAATTATTTGTACATATCGTTTTTGGTATAAGATTTTAAAAAAGAAAATTATATTATTTTTTCAACAAATATTGTGTTAATATGTGAATAATGATAGTTCTTTTTGGTTTATGATCTTTTTAATTAGGATTTAAATAAAATAAAATTAACATTAAACATTATTTTACAATTTCTGGTTTAAAATTTTAAAAGATTTTTAAAAAAAGATAATTACTATCAAATATTTTTTACAATTCTCTTTTTTTCATGATTTTACAAAAGGAAAATTAGTATTAACACATGTCACAATCTTAGATATATAACTGACATGTGTCGCGATCGTGTTAATTAATAACTTTGAAGAACCAAGCTCTCGTGATCGTGTTAATTAGTAACTTTGAAAAACCAAGTTTTATATAATAAGATAATCGAGTATTTTAGGTACTTATTTAAATTTGAAATATGTATTGTTAGATATCATATCAAAATAAATATGAAACTGAATATTTTAAATACATATTTATTTTTCATATGTTTAAGTTATATATTAATGTAGGCATTTGGATTGGTTTCTTCGGATATTTTTCAGATTTTTCGGTTTTCGGATTTTTTGGGTTATCCATTCGGATTCGGTTAATAACACTTCGGGTTCGAATATATTTTGTAACACTTTACAAAACCCGTTTGGATATTTATAACATTTCGAACTGCGTATGGATCAGATTTTTTGGTTTGGGTTCGGTTCGGATTTTGGGTTACGGATTTTATCCATGACTGAAAGAAGGAAAAATAACATAAACGCGTTGCGAGGAAGAACATTAATGGGCTTAATAAATACAGAAAATAGGTTATAGTGGGCTTCTTATGTGATCTAAAGCCCATAATACGTAATCCGTCGAAGAGGATAATAACAGTGGGACCCACTTAAAAGTCGCTCTCATTCTTCTATATAGAGGGTTTGGTTTGAGAAGACGGAAAAGTGGAATGCTTTCAGTGAAGGAGAAGAGAAGACTCAAAAGGTAAAAGAAAGCAAACAAAGTTCTAAACACAGAGGCCAAAAACTCCCGTGATTAATCAAAGATCGTAATCAATGGCGGATCGGAGCAGAGGATTCATGAGAGATGAATTCGTCACCTATGCTTACATTCTTCTCTATATCGCCCTTTCTAGCGGTCAAATCTTCTTCAATAAGGTTTAACTTAAACCTCACTACCTCTCTTTTCCATGGATCTGTGTTCTTATCGATTTGTGTGAACCGGTTCGCCTAATTTTCATAAGGATTGAGCTGCAGTGTGTGTGGTTCGGTTTAGTTCGGTTCGGTATTATTTTTCTGACCGGGAAGTTTGACTAACAGTTTCAATGCGTAAACGTTTTGAAGAAAATTCATGAGAAATAAACTGTAATCTTGTCGCTGAGAGATTAGTTGAGTATGTTTTTGTTGTCGGCACTATTTGCTTATTGCTTATAGAGTCCACCACTGTCCTAATTTTAGCAACTAATGATCCACACTCAGTGAATAACTTGGTCAATGAATTACTCTACTGTGCAGTGGGTTTTGTCATCTAAGGAAATAAACTTTCCTTATCCGCTTGGATTGACTTTACTCCACATGATCTTCTCCTCTGTCTTGTGCTTTCTTCTTACCAAAGTTCTCAAGGTAATGTATCTTGCTTTATTGGTTATTAATTAAGAAAGGATGCATTGATTCTAAATTTTTGGTCTCTGTTTATTTCTTTCTCCATGTAGATCGTGAAGGTTGAGGAAGGAATGACATTAGAAATGTAAGAAATAAAGAGAAATTTGATTTTCAAGATGTAGTAATGGGTTCTTTGGTTTTAGTAATAAAACAACTCGCTTTATGTACTCAGATATGTTACATCAGTTATTCCAATAGGTGCCATGTTTGCTATGACCCTCTGGTTGGGAAACACTGCCTATCTCTACATATCAGTTGCATTTGCCCAGATGTTGAAAGCTATAAGTAAGAATACCTTATCTTTTCATGATTAGTTGTATGTCTACTTCTTATATGTTAACGAGCTGGACTGTGGATACTTGCAGTGCCTGTTGCTGTGTTTATCCTTGGAGTAGCTGCTGGACTTGAAATTATGAGCTGCAGGATGCTTTTGATTATGTCTATCATAAGTTTCGGTGTTTTAGTAGCCTCATATGGGGAGTTAAATATTAACTGGATCGGAGTTGTTTACCAAATGGGTGGTGTCGTTGGAGAAGCACTGAGGCTAATCTTCATGGAGATTCTTGTCAAGAGGAAAGGCATCAAGCTAAACCCAATCTCTCTTATGTACTATGTGAGCCCTTGCAGTGCTGTTTGCTTGTTTGTGCCGTGGATCTTTCTTGAGAAATCGAAGATGGATGGCAATGGACCATGGAACTTCCATTTCGTAGTGCTGACACTTAACTCCCTCTGTACATTTGCTCTCAACTTGTCGGTTTTCTTGGTGATCTCTCACACGAGTGCTCTCACTATCCGAGTCGCTGGCGTTGTCAAGGATTGGGTGGTTGTTTTGGTCTCAGCCCTTCTCTTCGCCGACACCAAACTCACAGTCATCAACCTTTTTGGTTACGCCATTGGTAAGACAAAACAAAAAGCTTCTCACATAACCAATTGACTGTAGAACTAAAAGAGTTTTTGCTTCTCTTATAACTGGTGTTTTGTTTTTTTACACGCAGCCATTGCTGGTGTAGCAGCTTATAACAACCATAAGCTGAAGAAGGAAGCATCTAGAGTTACCTCAGAAACTCCAGGAGATGGTGAATCAATACCGTTGGTGTCACTGCCCAATACAGAGAGAGGATGATGATGATGTAGTTTCTCATCAGTCTTGAAGGTAATCTTTAATTGTTTGTTTTATCAAATGTACCATTCGAACTATATAAACAACTCATACGAACAACCTGGAAGAGAAAAAACAAAAGATCAATCAATTTGTCCAATTCTCATGATTTTTAGTCACTATAATGTAATTTCTTATGTAGTTGATATATAAATGAACGTTGAGCGAATATTTAAGCAGGTAAAATTATATGTTGTCTGATATTTTTTCCTTTCCATGAAGTAAACTTATAAAAATTTCTTTCTAACTACCATTCACAAATAGTCAAATACTCACATTTTCTTTTTGAACAAGACAATTACTCGCATAACTAAAAAAAAAAATAGCGCTTATGCTTTGATGACCTTATTGGCTTTAAAATGGGCCCAAAAGCCCGGTAACAAGATTTCTTTTTTCTGTCAATCTACGTGGAATTTATATTTAAAAATAAAAAGAGGAGGAAAGCAAAAAAAATATACGAAAAGCTCGCGAGAGATTTATCGGGTCGGGTTGTTAGGTGGGTCTCTTCCTCGGCAGTTACCACCATCGAATCGATCTCCTTCTTCTCCTTCCTCCCAAATCAATAAATCTCCCCGAAATCTCGAGCGCTCGGAGCCGGAATCGCCCGAATCATACATAAACCGGAGAACGCTTTGTCGTGGTGGCAGCGGCGGCGATAGATGCGACCGCAGCTAGCGATTCAGCGATGAGCGGTTGCGTAGGCGTTTTTCTCCGGGGGAGAAGAACCGAATCCGATGGGATATAAGCTGCAGATGAGCTGGATGCCGAGTCTACTCAGTCAGAAGCGTAGGAACGGTCCGCCTCTAGGGTTACGCAACCTCGGCAACACGTGCTACCTCAATAGCGTCCTTCAATGCCTCACCTACACTCCTCCTCTCGCTAATTTTTGCCTCAGTCACAAACACTCCTCTCACTGTAACTCTCTCTCTCTCTCTTCTCCTTCTCCAATGATATTAGGTTTAAGGCTTTGAGAAATTAGGTTTAGCTATCCGATGGATCTTATATTAGGTTTTATCGGACGATCTTTTAGTATTGTATAATATATAGTTCGTTGATAGGTTTAAAAGTTAGTTACAGTGTCTAGGCGATCGAAAATGCGCTGGTCTAACCAATAATCCTCTGTAAAACGTCTGAGTACGCCTAAAGAACATTGGTTTGATTTTAGTATTGTATAATATATAGTTTGTTGATAGGTTTAAAAGTTAGTTACAGCGTCTAGGTGATCGAAAAGGCGCTCGCCTAACCAATAATCCTCTGTAAAACGTCTGAGTACAGCCTAACGATTTTTAGAACATTGGTTTGATTTTAGTATTTTGTATAATATATAGTTTGTTGGTATGTTTAATTGGCTTAGGCGCGCTCTATAACCACCGCCTAATGATTTTTAGAACATTGGTTTGTTCTATGGCTTACTAGCTTGTAATTTTGATTGTAATTTGATAGGTGATTCATTTGTTGATGGTGAGAGGAAACGAGACTGTCCATTCTGCATAGTAGAGAAACGAATAGCGAGGTCTCTTAGCGTGGATCACGCGATCGATGCGCCTAACAAGATTTCGAGCTGTCTCAAGATTTTCGCCGAGCATTTTAAGTTTGGGCGTCAAGAAGACGCTCATGAGTTCTTGCGGTATGTGATTGATGCGTGTCACAACACGTCTCTTCGTCTGAAGAAGATGAGGACGAAAGGGGGTGGTGAGTGTGTTAATGGGAGTACTGAGGTGAAGGAGATTTTCGGTGGTGCTATGCAGAGTCAGGTGAAGTGTTTGCCGTGTGGTGCGGAGTCTAATAAAGCTGATGAGATTATGGATATCAGTCTTGAGATTTCTCATAGTAGCTCGGTTAAGGAGTCGATGCAGAAGTTCTTTCAGCCTGAGATTTTGGATGGTAACAATAAGTATAAATGTGAAAGGTAAGTGATATTTGTCTTTCTTTCAGAGTGTTTCTATTTTTTTTTTTATTAATATAAATGTTTTGTTTGTTTTAGTTGTAAGAAGTTGGTGACGGCGAGGAAGCAAATGTCAGTACTCCAAGCCCCTAATATACTTGTTATACAGTTGAAAGTAAGTAGTTTTTGTTTACGAAAGTTGAGTTCTGTTTTAAAGTTGAAGATATACTAAAGATTTGCTTTGAATTTTTTTTAACAGAGGTTTGAGGGCATTTTTGGTGGGAAGATTGATAAGCCCATTTCATTTGGTGAGATTCTGTTTCTGTCGACATTCATGAGTAAATCAAGCAAGGTACAAGATTCTTACACTTTCAACTTAACTTTAAGAATCTGTTGTCGGTGTCTCTGTTATTTTGAATTGATGTTTCCTAATTCTTTTATATGAACTCAATATGATTTATTCTTAATGCTTGCAACTACCATTGAAATCATCATAGTGCTGCTCCAGCTTGTTGAATCTTTCTGTTCGAATGTAATTGTACTTCCGAGTACTTGCTTTTCTTAATCATTTTACTCTGTCAAACTAACCGCAGGACCCTCAACCAGAATACAAGCTTTTTGGGATAATTGTGCATTCTGGATTTTCTCCTGAATCTGGACACTATTATGCATATGTTAAGGTTCGTTTTCTGTTCCTTTTCAGTTTTCAATGTAAAGCAAACTCTCCAACTTGCATATTGACTTTTTAACTTCCATCTGTGTAGGATTCTTTGGACCGATGGTACTGCTGCAACGATTCGTCTGTCTCACACTCCACCTTGCAAGAGGTTTTGTCTGAAAAACCCTACATACTCTTTTTCACCCGTATCAACCAAAGGCCAGCTTCTGCTAAAAACTTTGTACCAACATCCAACGGGACTACATCTCACGAAGTTAATGGCCCTGAGAAACCAAAGCCCCAGAAGTTTATTGGTCCCCTTAATAATGTCAACATACAACAACCACGAGCCGAGCAGTCTTACAAGAAGGATACCAATAATAACCTCGCTTCTTCAACGCCCCATAAATTTATTCGTCCCCTTAAAGATGCTAACATGAAACCACGAGAAGAGCAACCGTTCCACAAGAACAACCTTGCTTCTCTCCAGGTTGAAAAGGCTCCTCTCAAGCCACATGCAAAGATCAGTATATCTGTCAACCTTGGTGCCAAAAGAGTATCTCCTACTGTCAACGGAAGACTTTCTTTCGACCAAGATCAGGACTTAGCTCCAGAGGCGGACAAAGAGAATGCTGGCTCTGTCTCGGCAAAGAGGGTTTACACTTGTTCGGAGAAAAAGTTTGGTACTGAAAATGGTGGTAATGGAGTTAAAGAAAACGGCAGTGCACAAGCTAGTAGTAGTAGTAGTAACAATAATGAAGTGACATTGCATCCCCATGAGTGTAGTAACGGCTTCAGCAATGGGGTTGATCATCACAACAAAGATAGCTTACATCCATGCAAGAGTAATGGCTCACAAAATGGAACTGATCATAACCAGAAAATTGAGAAAGACGGTGTTAATACAACCCAATCCAAAGCCTTGGAGCCTTCAATAGATGGAAGTGACCGCTGCATTTTTCTTAGAAAAGACAAATCATCTCGTGATCAACTTGAAGCAGTAAAAGAGAGGTAACTTTGGCTTGTGTTGCTGCTTGTGTATATCTGATGACATAACTAACGTATAATGATTGTGTTTGCCTATTATCTCAGCCTGCAGAAAGACGTGTTGTCATGTTTGCGGTCATGCGGATGGTATGATGAAGTATACAACTCGATGCGCGACAAGAAGAGATTGCGTGCAGAGGCATCAGGAGGAGATGGTGAAGATGGTAACGACTTAAAGTAAGTCAAAACCTGACTTAACTTGTCATGTTTTGTCATAGCTTGAGCATAATAGCTAGAACTTGCACAGATTGGAGTTTGACCTCTTTTAGCTTCGTGCTTTATTATGTTAAATTCATTTCGTGACTTAACGTTTGGACCTTTTGACTTGTGCAGGAGGAGGTTGATTTCAGATGTAAAGGTACCTCGGATTCCAGATGAAGTGAAAGCAGATCTGGTAAAGCGTCTCCGGAGAATTGGCAAGAAGAAATACTCGTGAACCATTCATCGTTGAAGCCGTTGCATCACATAGGCACATATTGTTTGATCCATCCCGTTGGTTGTGATACAGAGAGAAAGGGATCGAGATTTTTCCAGTGTGTGAAGTGAATTTTGTTACATTTTTGGAAGAGAGCTAAAAGTAAATTTACGGAAAAATAGATCTCATACTGTATAATATTTTGAGCATTTTCTGAACTTTCCCTCTATGGATGGAAACTGTCACACTTTCATATATTTTAGTGCACTGGAAATTAATATAAGAGGGTTCTTGGGTTTTACTTTTCTTACAGATTTTGTGCATGGATTGTTTGTTGGTTGGTGGTATATAAAGATGGATCAAAGATGTAACAAAAGAATGTTTAATGAGCAGTGACAACTGAAAATGAAAGCTGAAAGATTCAACGAGTAGATGAAAATTTGAACATAACAACTCTTAATGCTGAGAGATTACAAATAGATTCTCAATGGAAAAGTTGATGGACGATTTGGCCAAGAAACGTACGACTTCTTTGATCTTTCGTCTTATTTAAAAAAATGAGAAAAATGCAATTTTGGATCGCAAAAGTTTAAATGGTCTAAGAAGCAGAGAGACTGTTGGTCTTGACGTAGTGACCAAGAGACCAGGAGGAGAGAGCTGGACACGATGAAGAGGGTCTCTCTGCGGTGACTCTGACTAATTCTTCAAAGTCCAACTCTTCCTCAAAGATTGTGGTCAACATGTTCTTGAAGGGCTCTTTCGTCGCGGATATCAACTTAGCAGGAGCCACCTCGGTGATGAACCTGGTGGTCTTAACTGTTTCCATTGGTGATGGAGATTGAGCTCTTCTGAATGGGAAAAGAAGTATGGGGAGAAGAAAGCTTCTTCGTTGGGCATGGAAGGAAGAGATTGCAGATGAGATATTTGTGAATGATTTTGGGTGAGAAGTGAAGTGAATTTATACAGAGTGTGAAGTGCTTATGAAGTACTTTCATCTTGACTACAAAAGGACAACATTATGTGGAATAGTACTTACTTACACTCCTTCACGTCATTAGACAAAGCCAAACCTAAGTTTTTAATAGCTCAGATTAAATAATCTTGTAATCTTCAGTTTCAAGTGAGTACTGAGTATCAATGTACCAAATAATTGATAACCATTTCTTGGATTGTTTTAGTGGTAATGAAAGCCGGATCTTAACTAATAATATGTACGGAGATAGATAGGCGAGTTCACTGGTCACAAGCACACTATTCGAGCTTAAAGTGCATAGTCAACTGGTCTGATAATGGTGAATGTCCACATGCCTCCAGTAAATTGCCATTTGCCACCCGACAATTACTGATGGGTTCCATTTTTTTTTTTACTTTGAACTTATAGTTAAAACAAGTTGGTTTCACATTCTAATTTGAAAAATTGAAACACCACCAAAAGAAATCAAATCAAAATCATTTACAAACAAAGTGTTGCGGGTGCGAAATCAAGTGATAGGTGAGAAGTATCTTTCAAGAAGAATACGATGTGGGGGCTCTTCATTTATAATCAAAAGCCAAAAAAATTAGGAACAACAGTCGCTGTTTTTAGCTTTGAGATTTTCTTCAAAGTTATAAATTTCAAATAACGTGGCTCAGTGAGAAAAAACAATGCCTAAAGAGTAAAGAGAATGTTAGCATCTCATGCATATTCCTATTTTCAGGCCATCAGCATCAAAGAACCGCTTTGGGGTTCAGAAGTTTTGATTTTTTTATTATTTTTCTTTTTTGTTTAACTTTTTCTTTTTTCTAAAAAAAAAAAAAAAAAAAAAAAAAAAAAC